TGACAACTGCTTACCCGAACTAAAGACCCACTCCCCGCCATGGACAGGACCAATGTCATCTATAAGATCCCCTGCAGAGACTGAGAGAAACACTACATTGGACAAACAGGAAGGAAACTAACAACAAGGGTATACAAACACCAACTGGCTACAAGAAGTCACAACCAATACTCACTCATCTCAATCCACCTGAATGAGGAGAACCACCAATTTGACTGGGGCAACACCAAAATCCTGGGACAATCTAAGCAGTGACAGGCACAGGAATTCCTAGAAGCCTGGCACTCCACAAAAAAAGCCATTAATAAACACACACAACTCGACCCCATGTACGCTCCGCTACGAAGGAAAACCGGAAGTGAGGCAATCTAGCTCAACGGACTCCAGAGTTTAAAAACCAGGCAGGAAAACACACCGATGCTTCATCGGAGGCTGCACTAATGATGTTACCCAGCATGGTAACGAAACGTCTGCGGAACAACAAACCAGCTTGGCAAGCCAACCAACCTCAACACCCACAACCTGAGCTACAAATCTACTCCAAAACCTTAGATTAAAGGTTATGGTGAGAGGGTGGGTAAGTGGAGCTGAGGCCACAAAAAGACCAGCCATAATCTTATTGAATGGCGGAGCAGGCTTGAAAGGCCAGGTGGCCTACTCCTGGTTCTTATGTACATACAGCTAGGAGATGAAGTATAACTCCCTGCTCTTCGAAATAGTATTTTATGGCCATCAGAGGCAACTGGTGAACTGCTTCTACTGGCAGAGGTATTAAATTGAGGGTCCAAGTATTGCTCATAATTCTCTCAAATTTCTGCAAACAAAACATGAATGAGATGATGGAAATATGTTTCCGTTCTTAGGGCTAAATTTGGTTTGTTAAAATTTAAAACCACCTTCTTTAAGTTTCAGTTGTGAATGGTGTACAAGTGAAAGATCTGCACTTTCCATATACACAAAAAGAATGTTTTTGCTCATGATACGGATGATTTGAAATAGATTTTCTTTCAGGGAGAATCCTTACAGCAGTGCATGTCCACTTCAACAAAAAAGAAGACGCTACTACACCTGGTTCTTTGGTTTAGGTGGGCCAAGTAGATCAAAGTGTCAGTGGGGACGCATTTAGGGGCAACGATCATTGTATAATAAGGGTTTGGATGACAGTGGCAAAAGACAATTGACAATGTAGAGTATAAATAATTAAATAGGAGAGCTGTTTCAATGAAACGCGTGGAGCTGGGTCAGGCTAGACTGGAGCTGAAGGATGGGGAAAAACTTAACCAAAGAAGCAGATTTTACCCAGGGCTGAAGACAGGAGAAAACTTAGTAGAAGGATTCAGAATTAGTGAGGACGTATCATTAGAGAAGCTGTTGGTGCTTAAGTTGATGATGCACGTGAACCAGATGAGATGCATCCAAGGATATTAGAGAAAGTGAGTATGGAAATTGCAAAGGCACTGGTTGTGATCTTTCGGTCATTCCTGGGTTAGTGGCAAAGGTCTGGGGAAATGACAAACATGCCCTTATTCAAAAGAGATAATAAGTAAAAACTCAGCAATTGCAGATCAGAGTTTATTATCAGTAGTTGGGTACTAAAAGAAATCATGTTTAATTAACGGTTCTTTTGAAGAAGCAGGATGTTGATGAAGGTAATACAGTTGGTGCAATGTAAATTAACTTGAAAGCAATTCACTGCAGGCTTGAGGTAAACTATTACTCGTGGAATGAAGTGTAAATCCTTCCACATTCCAGATTATGCAACAGATATCTGATTGCAAAAGCCCATCTAATGTTAGACACTTGCAAGCACGAGCTGGTTGGGTATGTTCAGCAACCGAAGGAACGTGCTGTTTGTTACAATCTACCAGTCTTTGGAATGCACAGTTTACGTAATTGGCATCTCACTGGCAGTAAAATTGAAAAAATAACTTTTGAAAATTTTCACCATAGAGCAAAGCCATTGAGCCCATCTGTGCTAGCTGAGAAAACAAGTATCCACCCTAATTCCACTTCTCACCTTTTGGCCTATAGCCCTGTAAGTTATGGTAACTGAAATCCATTTGTAAGTTTCTTTTTAATAGCACTGAGGGGTCCTGTCTCTATCATACATTCAGATTGTAAGTTTTAGTCTCCTCAACTAGTGGATAATGAAAAGCCAATGACAGGTTTGCAACTAGGGATGAAGTGATGGTTTCACACGTGTGTCAAAAAGACAGCACTTTTAGCAAAACAAAAGGGCAATGTGTATCCATCGATATAAATTTTCATCGCTCATGTGTTTAACAGACTGTCATGTCACCAATCAGCTGCAAAGAACACAGTTGAAGGTGCTGGCTATGTAGGTGTCAAATCATCTGACACAGTCAGTTGTGAGGGAGCACTCGAGGCTCTGAAATTTTTTGTAGTACTGAGAGATCTTCGAAACAAGTTTGAGAATGCCTGACCAACACTTTTCTTAATCGGTCTGCATTTGATCAATTATTAACCATGCTGGATCTCGTCAATGTTATGATTGAGGCATGTTGATTTTCAGTCATAGTTATAGAGGTCTAGAGCAGAAAATAGTCCTTCAGCCCTGACGTCCACTTCAGTCAGAAACAACCGCCTAACTTGTCTAGTCCCATTTTCCAGCACTTGGCCCATAGTCTTGTATGCTTTGACCAGTGTATACCAGTATTTTCTACAGTTGAACATACCTATATTATCATACAATGTGAAAGTTTTCAGATGTTGAAGCATAATTTAAAAGATGTAAAAGTAATACCAAAGAAGGATGAGTCTGACAGATCTTTTCCACAGGAGCACGTCAGTATATCTTCAGCTATGTAAATAAGGTGCAATAGCCACTTTTTGTTGCTAATTTGCAAGCTTGAATTTGAAGAAAGGCTAGACAGGCTAGGTCTATATCTTCTGGAATTTAGAAGAGCTAGAGGACTTAATTGAAACACACAATTCTGAAGGGACTTGACCAGGTGACTGTTGAAAGGATATTTCTTCTTGTGGGAGAATCTAGATGTAGCGTTTATAGCTTAGAAGTAAGGGGGCACTTGTTTAAAACAGAAAAGCCTTTTTTTTCCCTTGAGAGTTAAGTGTCTTTGGAATTGCCTTCCTCAGAAGGCAGCTGTTGCAGAATCTTTCATTACCTTTAGGGCAGAGGTAGATAGATTCTTGATTACCAAGGGGATGAAAGGTTATCGGGGTTATGCGAGAATGTATGGTTGAAGTTGGATCTACTGTGATTTTATTGAATGGGGGAGCAGACTTGAGCCTAATGACCTACTCTTCCTTGTTCGTGTGTATCTGTCGCAGAAAAATTCAAATTAAGCTTTTGCTGTCATAGTTCAAAAATAATTTTTGCTATCAAAATATTTGAACTCCACTTTTGGTGTTGCTTTTAAACATCTGCTGAGGCAGTAATGAACTGAATCAAAAGTTTGTACTTTGAGCAATCTGCATAGAAACTAACCGTAACAACAAAACAAAAAACCTATATAGCCATTGAGAGGTAGTAAGAACTGCCGATGCTGGAGTCAGAGATAACACAGTGTGGAGCTGGAGGAACACAACCGGCCAGGCAGCATTAGAGAAGCAGGAAAGTTACATAGATGATTTGGAGTTGGGGACTAAGTGTGGTGTGTCAAAATTTGCAGATGACGCTAAGATAAGTGGTAGAGCAAAGTGTGCAGAAGACACAAAGTCTACAGAGGGATATAGATAGTCTGAGTGGGCAAAGGTCTGGCAGATGGAGTACGATGTTGATAAATGTGAGGTCATCCATTTTGGTAGGAATAACAGCAAAATGGACTATGTTTTAAATGGTGAAAAATTGCAGCACGCTGCTGTGCAGAGGGACTTGGGTGTCCTTGTGCATGAATCGCTAAAAGTAGGATTGCAGGTGCATCAGGTAATTAAAAAGGCAAATGGAATTTTGTCTGTCATTGCTAGAGGGATGGAGTTTAAAAACAGGGAGGCTATGCTGCCGCTGTATAGGGTCCTGGTGTGCCACACCTGGAGTACTGTGTGCAGTGTTGGTCTCCTTACTTGAGAAGGGATATACTAGCACTGGAGGGGGTGCAGAGGAGATTCACTCGGTTGATTCCAGAGTTGAGAGGGTTGGATTATGAGGAGAGACTGAGTAGGCTGGGATTATACTCATTGGAATTCAGAAGAATGAGGGGAGATCTTATAGAAACATACAAGATTATGAAGGGAATAGATAAGGTGGAAGCAGGGAGGTTGTTTCCGCTAGCAGGTGAAACTAGGACTAGGGGGCATAGCCTCAAAATAAAGGGAAGCAGATTTAGGACTGAGGTCAGGAGGAACTTCTTCACCCAAAGGGTTGTGAACCTGGAATTCCCTGCCCAGTGAAGCGGTTGAAGCTACCTTGCTGAATGTGTTTAAGGCAAGGCTGGATAAATTTTTGAACAGTAAAGGAATTAAGGGTTATGGTGTGCGGGCGGGTAAGTGGAGCTGAGACTCAAAAAGATCAGCCGTGATCTTATTAAATGGCGGGGCAGGCTCGAGGGGCTGGATGGCCTACTCCTGCTCCTTGTTCTTATGTTCTAAAGTTGACAATTCAGGCTGGGACCCTGCTTCAGAAAGAAGGGTCCCAAAAGTCCTTTAATTGCATGAACCCAAATGGTGTCTACAGATGTGGGCTGAGGGTTAGTGACCAAGCCCAGAATTCACTGCCTTTCAGCAGGGAATGTTCTTCAGAAAGAAGGGTCCCGACCCGAAACGTCAACTTTCCTGTTCCTCTGATGCTGCCTGGCCTGCTGTGTTCCTCCAGCTCCACACTTGTATAGCCATTGTTTCTGGATGTACTTGACTGGGACCAACTGTGTGCTGTCCTTTGTGCTGTTAGTTACAGGATATTAGAGTGGCTAGGAAAGTGTAGAAGTGTACAGGTTAATGTACAGTAAAATATTCTGGCAAGTTGCCTTGCATGAAATCCAAAGAGAATTCTTTGTCTTTGGCTAGTATTACTTTTATTTCTTCAGGTGGTGGAGCAGGGCATGTTTGTGAAGCATTGCAAAGTGGAGGTATACCTAACAGAATTAAAGTTGTGTGAAAATGGGGACATGAACAATGTCATAACGAAGCGATTTAGCAAAGCTGACATCATAGGTAAGTGAAAGTTCTTGACAATGTTCTTAACAATTTTCTCGTCACTTCTTTCCCTCTTTTCCTGAAGGTATTGTTCCTGGTCAGGTACCATTCTATGGTTGTCTTGTTTTGTTTCATTTGAAGTATCCTTTCATTGCATGAGCCCAAATGGTGTCTACTGATATGGGCTGTTTGGTAATCTGAGGGCTAGTGATCAAGCCCAGAATTCACGTACTTGCCTTTCAGCAGGGAATGTTCTTGAATGATTGAGAGAAAATGCTGGCTAATCATTCCTTTCTGGCTCAGTTGTAAAGATCCTAGTGTCTTCTAAGTAACAAAGACTCAGCATAGGTCAAATTGGAAATAAAACTGTGTGGCTTGGCTAATTATCATGGGGAACATTTCCTTAAAAGAAAGAGGAGGAGCAATAGACCACATGGCCCATTAAAACTGCTCCACCGTGTCATACAATCATAGCTGATCCTCTGTCTCAATTCCACTTTTCCATCCACTTTCTATATTACTTGATTCCCTGAGTATACGTCAACCTTGAACACGTATACTCCATTGTTAAACATTAGTCTCTGGAGTAGGCAGTTCCAAAGTTTCTCAACTTTTGAATTGGGAAGTTTCTCCTTATCTTAGTCCGAAGAGACTGAAATCTTAGCCTGGTACTGTGCCCTATGTTCTAGATTCCCCAACCTGGGGTAACAATCCCTGTGTCTACTGTCAAAGCCCTTCAGACTTTTCTACATTTCAATTATATAATCTCTCATTCTTCTAAATTCCAGTAACAATAGGCCTAATTTACTTAATCTCCCATCATAAAACAATCCTCACATCTAAGGAACCAATCTAGTGGATCTTTGCTGATGGGGCCAAAATTGCATACAGTATTCCAATTAAGTTCTCACCAAAGACATGTACAGGTATAGCAATGCTTCCTTATTTCAGTACTCCAATCTCTGAAGTATAGGCCAACATGACATTTGTCTTCCTAATTGTTTCCTGTACCTGCATGCTAATTTCCTTGCAAAAGTGTGCCTAGGACGTTCCAATCATCGATATTTACAACATTCACACCTTTCTTAAAAAAAAAGAGTTCAACTTCACTATTCTTACTTTGCGATTTCACATCCCCACATGATATTTTCATTTGCCACTTTGTCCCCTTAATCTGTTGTATGTTCTTTGCCACTTTTTTGCATCCTCCTTGGCTTGCATTCCTATGCAGCTTTGTCAGCAAACTTCAATTACGTTTGGTATTTTATACAAATCATTAGATGAATTGTAAATAACTGAGGGCCCAGCATTGATCATTTCTGCACTTCTGCAGTCAAAGCCTGCCAACTTTAAAATGTCCTGTTTATTCTTATCCTTTGCTTCTTGACCATTAATTTGGGATAGGCAATAAATGCTGACCCAGCCAGTGAACACTCATCCCATGAATCAATAATGAAAAGCTCCTCTATTCATGCTAATTTATTGCTTGCAATTCCATGAGCCCTTATCTTGCATGTTAACTTTGTATGTGGCATTTTATCAAATGCATTTTGGAAACCCATGTGTGCAACATCCTCTAGTTGCCTTTTATCTATGCTATTAATTATGTCCCCCAAAAAAATCCTTAATTCTAGCTTATTTCTAGCACTTGATGTCAGTCCAACTGGCATGTAGTTCCCTGTTTTCTATATCCCTCCTTCCTTGACTAGCAGTGTTTTATTTGATACCTCCATCTATTCAGATCATTGTAGAATTTAGGGATTTTTACAAATTGTAGCCAATGTGTCAACTATATCTCTTTTAGAACCCTTGGAAATGTGACTTCTGGTCTGGAAGAGTTGTTGGATTTTAGTTGCTGTTGTTGCTTTTCAGTTGTAGTTAAATATTTCTCTAATACTTGATCTTTGCTGGTATTATTGCCTTAAGCCCTCACTCATTATGTCTTCATTGCCCTTTATGTCCGATGTAATTTGTATCTTTTACTGTGAAGACAGCATAATATTTGTTCCACATCTGTATTTTCCTCATTGCCCATGTAATTTCACTAGTCCCTGCCTCTGAGGAACCAATATTTGATTGGAGACAGCATGTTTGATGCTGAATCCACATCTGGCATGTGGTAATCTTTTAAAGGCCAGTTGATTAGAGTTCTGGACCAGTACATTCCCAAGAAAATAAAGGGTAAGGATAGCTAGATTTGGGAACCTTGGATGATAAGACAAATTGAGAGCACGGTCAAAAAGAGAATTGAGGCATATGTAAAGTTAGGAAACTGAAGACAGCCATTGAAGAATACAATGATAACAGGAAAGAACTGGAACAAGGAATTAGGAGGGCTTAAAGGGGCCATGAAATATCTTCAAAAAACATGATTAAGGAAGATCCTGAGGTGTTTTGTATGCACATACAAGGAGCAAGAGGGTCGCTAGGGAAAGGGTAAGTCTATTCCAGGTCAAAGGGAATTTGAGTGAAGCCAGAAGAAGTGGGTGAGGTCATTAACGAATACTTTGCATCGGTATTCACAAAAGAGGACATGATGGATGGTGAGTCTTTGGAAGGGTATGTTAATATTAAAAGAAGGAAGTAAGTGGTGTTGAGTATCTTGAAAAGCATTAAGGTAGACAAGGCCCCAGGATCTGATGGGATTTCTCCCAGAATGCTGAGGGAAGCAGGTGAGGAAATTTCTGGGACCTTGTACAAAAACTTTATATCCTCTTCATTAACAGGAGAATAGCCAACATTGTTTCTTTAAGAAGGGTAACAGGGATAATCCAAGAAATTACAGGCTGGTGAACCTTGCGTCAGTGGTAGGGAATTTTTTGAAGAAGATTCTTAGGGATGGGATTTACCGATATTTGGAAAAGTATGGACTTAATAGCGATAGGCTGCATCTGCCGAGAAGGTCATCTCTCTCAAACTTGATTGAGTTTATTGAGGATTTGCAAAGATGATTTGAGGACAGGGCAGTAGATGGCTTTCTATATGGACTTCAGCAAGGCCTTTGACGAGGTCCCTTATGGCAGGCTGATACAAAAGTTGAAGTCACATGGGATCTGCAGTGAGCTGGTAAGATGGATACAGAACCAGCTTAGTCATAGAAGACAGAGTAGCAGTGTTTTTCTGACAGTGATCTGTGACCAGTGATGTTCCACAGGGATCGATGCTGGGACCCCTGTTGTTTGTAATATGTATATAAATGGTTTGGAGGAGAATGTGGGCGGCTTTGTAGTAAGCTTGCAGGGTACACAGAGATTGGGGGCATTGCAGATAGTGAGGAGAATTGCTAGAGGATACAGCAGGATATAGACTGGAGACTTGGGGAGAGAAATGGCAAATGGAGTTTAATCTGGATGAATACGAGGTGATAGATTTTGGAAGATCTAATGCTGGATGAAAGTATACAATCAATGACAGAACTTTTAATCGTATGGACATATGGAGGGATCTGGGTGTAAAAATCCACAGTTCCCTGAAAGTGGCAACACAAGTGGATAAGATGGTCAAGAAGGCATATTGCTTGTTTGCCTTCATTGGTCAGGCATGGAGTATGAACATTGGCAAGTCATGATGCAACTGTATAGAACTTTGGACACTTGGAGTGTTGTGTACAGTTCTGGTTGCCACACTGCAAAAAGGATGTGGCAGTTTTGGACAGGGTACAAAAACAGTTTACCAGGATGTTGCCTTGCTTGGAGGGTATTGACTATGAGGGGAGATTGGGCAGACTTGTTTTTTTTTTCTTTTCTTGAACGTTGAAGGATGAGGGGTGGCCTGATAGAAGTTAACAAAATTGAGAGGCATGAATAGAATGGATATTCAGAATCTTTATTCCAGAGCTGATATGCCAGTTAGTAGGGGGGCATAGGTTTAAAATAAAACGGAGGTGTGAAAGGCAAGTTGTTCTTACACAGAGGATGGCAAGTGCCTGGAATGTACTGCCAGAGGAAGTGATAGAGGTGGATACAATAGCAACATTTGAGGCATCTTGACAGATATATGAATAGGCAGGGAATAGAGGGATATGGACTGCATAGAGGCAAAAGGTCTTTAGTTTAGAAAAGCGTGATGTGTCAGCACAGTCTTGGTGGGCTGAAAGGCCTGTTCCTGTGCTGTACTGTACTGTTCTTTGTTCTTTAATATTTCATTTAGGTACCTTTTTCATGTTTACAAAAACCTTTTGAAATTATAAAATATTTTTGGTTAGTTTTTCCTTTTTTTTTTAAACCCCATTTTATTAACTTCTTTGTGTACCTTTTCTAGTTTCTAAAACGCTCTCAAATCTTTGGGCTTCCTACTATTCTTTGCAACCTTAAAAGCCTGACCTTTTAGTCGAATACTACCCTCAACCTCCTTAATAAGCCAGGGATAAATCTTGCTCCCTTTTATTCTGTATTTTGATGAAATCTATTTTTGTTAAGCACTTTGAATTGTTTGTTCAAATGTTCTCCACTGTTTATTGCCATATGTTTGTCTATTTACCCAATCAACATACAAACTGCTGCTGAATCCAGCCACATTAGAGGAGTGTATGAAGAATTTTGTAGCAACTGTGTCAATTCCTTTGAATACAAAGATGGGTACTCATCACTGAACATAGCAAGCAGATGGAAAAGTGTGTGGAGCATTACATCAAACTCAATGCCAAGGAAAACATATGCACTGAAGAATCCACAGTGTCATTCCAGCCTTCCTAGAAGAGCTGGACAGTGAGTCCACCAGAGTAGAGTTCAAGAAGGTAATTTGACTTTCTCACCAGTGATAAAGCCCTGGGAAATATAGCATCCCAACAGAAATCAAGGACGGAAAACTGGCACTGCTGCGGCATCTCCATGGAAGGAGAGGTCTGTGCCTCAAGACCTGCATGATGCAAGCATAGTCAGTTTGTACAAAACCAAAGGGAAATCACAGTGACCACAGTCATTACTGATATGTCTCATTGCTGTATATTGTGAGGAAATCTCACATTGCTCTGATCAGACAGTAGATCCTAGAGTCCTACATCTTTCTGGGCCTCAGTGTACTTTCAAAACAGGCAAATTGACAGTCAATATGACTTATCCTGTAATTGCTGAAGTGAGAAAGTGCCCTAAATAGCGCCGATGAAGGCCTTTGATCTCATCAGCAGAGGCTGATTCCTCAAACTAGTGCAGAAAATAGCCTGTCCTCCAAGGTTCCTGTACATCATTCCTTTCCACAAAAGCTTGCACAGTTTGTCAGTTACAATGGTTAGGCATCAAAAGCATTCAAGTTTAAGAAAGGAGTTAAACAGGACCACATCCTGACTCCAACTCTTTTGGTGCAGTTTTCTCCAAACTGTTTTTGCATGCTTTTGGCAACTCTGGACAAAGGTGTCTATTTTCCTACCAGACCTGACACCAATCTATTTAGCTTATAAGACTTCTAGCCAAGACCAAAGTGGATAAAATCCTGGTCCTGGACTTGCTATTTGTTGTTAATGTTGTTTGTGCATCACATACTGAAGTTCACTGCACTTGTAGATTGATTCTTCTACACCCGCAGGGAATTTAGACTGCAGTCAACCTCAGGAGTACCCAAGTTACAGGTCAAGGCGTAGAGACTCCCAATTTGCAGCAACTTGACCTGGATGGTGAGGCCATAGCAGTCAGGTCAAATTTGAGAAGGGTTGTGGAGTAAAGGTAAACTACAAAAAGATAAAGCTCTGCATTTCCAAGGCTGGTGTACTCAGCACCCTTGTTTTGTTGCAGGAAAACATGGATAACTTGTGTATGCCAAGGGAAGTGGTTGATTAGCTTTCAATTCTGCTTGAGACACCCACAAGCAGGAATCCTCTACGTTTTTGCCCTCCAGGGTCGGAGTGATTCCTTTGGCTTGGTCATGAGTTGAGTGAAAGATGACCGCATTCCCAAACACGTGCTGTGTGGCTAGCTTGCTTTAGCAGAAGATTAATAGGTTGCGCATGCCTGCAAACAAGTCCTCAAGTTGCCTGGGATCATAGTCATTGAATGGGAAGTCCTTGCTACTGACTGGAATGGCTGGAAAAGAGCAGTCAAGTGAGACATGGGAAAAAACAGGACAAAAGAGAAAATAGGTGGCAGTAAAAAGAGCCTTATGGAAGGGAAAAAGAAACAATCAACCTTGGGCCCATGCTATTCATCTTTGTATCATGAGTCGGCCTCTACAGCCAGAACAGATGATATTCTATCCAGAAGGGTCTCCCAAGACTGATAGATCAACCTACTCACTGTCAATTTATCAAGTCAACCTTAGCTTGCTGCTCCCCCAACTTAAGTAATTGACTTGTTTAAGATTAAGCTTCTCGTTAGGGACTAGAGTGTGTCACTTTTAAACTAGAACTAAAATTGTGTTATGAGATCACTTTTCCCCCGATGGATCTTTTACTATGGGATTACAAATGATCTCTTTCAGTGCACATCTCAATTAGCTTTATCCATCGTTCATTCCATAATGTATTGTTCCAAGAAATTGTCTTGAAAATATCTCTCAAATTGATGTTCTGGGCAGCCATTGTCAATTTTTTGCTTCAGTCAGTATGAAGATCAAAATTGCCAAGAATCGCCTTTTTGCGAGCATCCAATTATTTCTCAGTTAATGCTGTGTAAGTATTGTTGGGAGGCCTGTAAACTTCTCTTCAGTATTTTTGATTCTTGTTATTCCTAATATCCTCCTCCTATTTGTTCTACTACCTGATCTGAGTCAGAATCACTTCCCACTAATATCCTTATGTCATCCTTGACCAACAAGGCTAAACCTGCTTTCCTATTCTGTCCATTCCCTTGTGACCACACATCTCTAATGGAGATTAGTTATAGACCATTCAGGTAAAGAGCCTTTGATTTGATTTTTTTTCCTATTTTTTGCACAAGACTTAATCACTAATACGCTATTACTGTTAAACTCTTGTCCCACTCTGCTTGTTTTTAACCAAATCACTACACTGTCCCTATTGTTTTTATTTTTCTTTTTAGATTCCCAAATCTTTCTTCACCTGAATCCTTCCTGATCCCTATCTTTTAGTTTAAAGCACTAACCACATCCCTAGTTGTATGATTCACCAGGGCACTAATGCCAGCATGGTTTAGTGGAGCAGTTCCCATGCTACTGAATATCTGTCAGTGCCTCATGAATTGCAATCCCTTTTTCCCACACCAATATTAAATGCACTTCCTGCTCTTGCGCTTGGAGAAGTCTGATTATCAACTTTCTAAATAGGGTAGCCCTTATTTCAGGATCTTAAAACTATGAAGCAGAAATACAAGAGGCATATACAGTTTAGGGAGGATCTCAAGGAATATATCCTGGCCAATGCTTGGAATACAGGAAAGTGTTTAGCAAAATCCTGCTGTGTTTCCTATAGCTTAATGTATGCTTCCGTAATCCAAGTGGTATCTAAACCTCTTCCATGATGACAGCATGTAGAAGGCAAAGCCTTAATATTAGTCTTTCATGAAGAGTTTTTGATTCAGTATTGAGCCAAACATATCTTCAGACTGTGTTCTTAAATGCAGTAGTTTGGCATAAACATGAGAAATATTTATACTGTAAAAATAGCAAAATTTAAACGCATAAGAATGCAGGATTGCACTATACCTTTTCATAAACAACTGTTGTAAATGTTTAGTCTCATTTGTGAAGAGGTTTAAAGTGTATTTTAAAAACCCTAGATGCAGGCTTCAATTTTCTACCAGGCTTATTTGCTCCATTGTCTCTTATTCGCCACAAACCACGAAAGACAAATGCTCTTAGTCAGATATTGTTTCCATGCACAGCATCCATTTGCTATAATATCGTATCCAAGTGGCTGTTTTTTTGAGCCCTATCTGTACTGGGGAGGAACGCCGCTGAATCAGAATCTGTCTTCACTGGTCACTAATACACAAACTCCCCAGTGGGTAGGGGATGCTAATTGTAAATTGGAACCGTAGCTAATTATTTTCCTTCCATCGTTGTGGATCCTGAGACTCCGTTTTATGCTCAATGAATTACTGTGTCAACCAGTGTTTGAATTTTGGGCCACCTTGCTCCATGAAGCTTTGTACTTAAACCAGATAATGCTTTTATCTCTTTTTCAGTGATGTCTAATGTGAGAAGTTCTGTAAAACATAGTGTAAAAGTATGTCCAATGTTGCCTTCGTGCCATAAAACTTCAAATATCCTGACTTTACTACTTGCAGATCAATGGTGGAACCACTCACTGTGATTCTCTCATCCGCTGCACACTCCCCACCAACCCCACCTTTCTCTGCAACCGCAGGAGGTGTTACACCTGCCCCTATATCTCTCATCTTACCTCTTTGCAAGGCCCCAGACAAATTTTCCAAATCCAACAGGGATTCACCTGAACATTCTCCAATCTGGTCTACTGTATCTGTTGCTCCCAATATGGCCATCTTATATCAGTGAGACCAAGCGCAGTCTTCGTGACCAATTCGCGGAGCATCTGCACTCTGTACACTATAATCAACAGCACTTTCCAGTTGCCAACCATTTTAACTCTCCCTCCCACTCCGTTGGTGACATGTCCATTCTGGGCCGCCTCCAGTGTCACACTGATGCCACACGCAAACTGGAGGAACAACACCTCATTCCGCCTTGGAAGCCTACAGCTCAGTGGCCTCAATGTAGAATTCACCAGTTTCAAAATTTCACCAGCCTTGGCCTCATCCCTTGTCCAACCCTCCCTTTCATCCCTGCCTCCTTGACCTGACACTAGCTGTCCATCTCCTTTCCCACCTATCCACCCCACCCTTCCCACTGACCAAACCCCGCCACCTTCTACTTGCATCCGCCTATCGCCATTCCACCTACCTTTTCCCAGCTCAACCCCTCCTCCCTCTATTTATTTTCCAGCTCTCTTCCCCCTTACCAGTCCTGATGAAGGGTGTAAACCCAAAACATCGACATTCTTACTCATGCTGCCTGACCTGTGTTTCACCAGTTCCACACTGTATTGACTTCTCACTCCAACATCTGCAGTTCTTGCTATCTCCAAGGTCAATGAGTTCATCATTTCTGTTCTCGTAAAATATCTGCTAGCTCAAGAAAATCATTAAATGAATCTAATGTTTCTCTGTCTGCTGATGCTACTTGCAAATGTTTCCAGCATTTCCTGCTGCTGTTTCATTACTTGAAGCGCTTTGTTTGATGCGTAACTTGTTATTTAATCTTTAGTGAATCTAGTAAGCCCTCTTCTAATTCATCCACTAACCACTTGTTTTATTTCCATCATTCATGTTCCTTTAAAGTTTTGTTCTTAGAAGATATTGAATGCGAGATTGTAGGATGTTGAATCATTTGATTAGCTATAAACGTCTAAAGGGATGTTGTCACTGAATGAATTCCCTTGCAATATACAAACTGTATATCATGCTTGAACGTCATTCAGAGTTTCAGGAAGTCTGCACCTTGGAAAATAAATTTTTAACAGAGGCGCATAGCTAAAGACTCATGTTTTCAACATACCACTGAATTTTAAAATAAAGCTCTAAAGAAGAGTCATACTGGACTCCAAGTGTTAACTCTGTTTCTCTTTCCACGTATGCTGCCAGACTTGAGTTTCTCCAGTTTGGTTTATATGTTTTTGAATAAACAAAAAACTAATTGCTTTGGACATTGTACAGAAGGTATTTCCAATTAATGTCTCTAAAGTGACTCCTTATTGCTGTTTTTGTTTTAAATCTTAGATACAATTGAAAAGGAGATGCGGAAGCTGTTCAGTATCCCGGAAGAAAAAGAAATTAGATTGTGGAATAAGTACATGAGCAACACGTTTGAACCCTTGAATAAGCCCGATAGCACGATACAAGATGCGGGACTATACCAAGGACAGGTATAGTAGTTTAAAAGATGGTATCCATAATTTGAATTATATTTGCAATTGAAGGTGAAGAGATTAGGGCATAGGTTCAAAAGTTGTGAAAGGAGTAGCAATTTCTAATTGAAGCTTCGTTTTAAGTTATGAGATTTTATGGACATCTTCGTAACAAGTAAAAGCTGCAAGTCTTGCACCCAAACACGAATTTGGAGCTGAAGGAGGCCATTGGCAACCTAAGGATGCCCCACCATTCAATAAGATCATGGCTGAACTGTTTGTGTTTCAAATTCCACATTCCCATCTACCTCCATTAACCTTTGATTACCTTGCATGTCAACAGTCTGTATCCCTCCACCTTCAATTAATTTAATGAGATATTCTTCTGAGGCAGAGTTCCAAAGTCTCTCAGCCCTCAGAGAGCAAAGAAGAATCCCATCGCTATCCTAAATGGCTGACCCCAATTTTTAAACAGTGACCCCTAACCCTGAGCTCCTCCAGAAGAGGATATATCCTTTCTACATTGACCTTGTTAGGCCTGTTCAGTATAATGCAGTAAAAACTATAAGATGAAGGGGCTGTAGTAGACCACAACGAGTCTGCTCTGTCATATAATGAGATCATGGCTGATCTGATAATCCTCAACTTTACTTTCCTGCCTTTTGTCCATGACCTTGGATTCCCCTACTGATTAAAAATCCATCTTTCTCAGCCTTAACAACCCTGCCTCTGCAGCAAAGAGATCTGGGAAAGGTAAATCCACCATAGTCCCATAGGACCATGGGCTGCTTTCATTAGAGATGGACAACTGGTGGTGAGTGTATCCTGAGGGTCACCATGCCTCAGGTGAGGGACGAGTTTGAGAAGATGAGACCTTCACGGTCGCCTCAGCTGGTGCAGGAATTGAACCCATGCTTTTGGTGTCACTCTGCATCATCAACCAGCTATCCAGCCACTATTCAGGGTGGAGGTCAGAAATAAAAAAAAGGGAAAGAAGACACTGGTGCAGTTTTTTGGCACCTAACAGTAGCTATACAGAGGAACAGATAATAAGTCATGAGATAATGAGGGTATGTAATGAAGATAGTAAATTAATCATGGGTGATTTTAATCTTCATGTAGATTGGGATAGTCAGATTGGCAGAGGAAGCTATGAGGAAGAATTCATACTGCATTTGGGACAGATTCCTAGAACAATATGTTTAGATCCAACCAGAGATCAGGCTATTTTGGATCTGTTGATGTGTAATAAAGCAGGTGTAATAAGTGATAGCAGAGTAAAAGATCCCCTTGGAAACAGTGACCATAACATGACCATAACAGTGGATTGGGAGATGCTGGGATCTGGAATTCACTGCCTGAGATTGTGGTGGAGGCACGTTCAATTGGTTGTTTTAAATGGGAATCTAAGATATCTAAACAGGAAGAACTTTCAGGGTAATGGATAGAAGGCAGAGGAATGGCACTAAGTGAATTTTTTATTGAAGAACCAGTGCAGGCATGATTTACTAAATGGTCTCCTGTACGTAAGCACTGTGATCCTGGGAGTGATTACAGTGTGACAAATTTACATTGGATGTTTTCACTGAAAGCAGTTGGCAGAAAGTGCACATGGAATTTTAATACATGAGGTGATAGATAGTGACGAGATGTTGCTCTCCCATCACAAAGTTTAATAGTGATCAACTAATATGTTACTAACAATACCATGTTGGTCAGTAACTAAATGTGTGAGCACCTTCTCACAAGACTGCAATGACAATTGAAATCCTACTAATATTTGCCATCTTTGTGCAGTACAAACAGGAACTCTGCTGAAGTGTATTTCACTCCAGTGTGGATGTGGGTCACGGGTCCCTCAACCAAGAAGTGTCAAATAGATGATCCATTTTGGCCTACTCCACAGGTCCCCAGCATCTCTCATGCTGATATTCAGCCAAATCAATTTATTGTCATGTGATATCAAGAAATGGCATGAGGCCCTGGATAGTGCTTAGGCTTTGGACTCATATAACATATCAGCAATGGTATTAAAGGCATGTGTTCCAGAATTTGCTGTGCCCTTAGCCAAGTTGTTTGCATACAGCTACAATATTGACATCTTCCTGACAATGTGGAAAATTGCCCAGGTATGTCCTGTACACAACCCAGGAGATACCTAATCTGACTAATCACTGCCCTATCAAACTATTGTCTGCCATCAGTAAAATCGTTGAAAGGATCATACACAGTACAATCAAGCAGCACTTGCTTAGCAATTGCCTAGTCACTGACATTCAGTTTATGAATTGTCAAGATCACTTAGCTCCTGACCTCATTGCCTTAGTTCAAACATAGGAAAAAGTGCTGAATTTCAGATGGAAGGTGAGAGAGAATCTGACATCAAGGCTGCATTTGATAGGGTGTGATGTCAAAGAACCTTAAGTATACTAAAGTCAATAGAAATTGGGGGAAAAATCACCAACTATTGGAGCCATACCTGATACAACGAAGATGGTTGTAATTGTTGAAGGTCATCCATCTCAACTCTAGGACATCTCTGCAGGAGTTCTTCAGGGTTGCATTCTAGGCCTAACCATCTTAAGCTGCCTCATCAATGACTTTCTGTCCATCGTAAGGTTAGAAATGTGAATGTTCAGATACAGAAGCAACCCATGCCTGAATGCAGCAAGATCAGGACATGTACAGGTTAGGGCTGACAAATAGCAAAAAGCTTTCACACCACACAAATGCTTGGTAATCCCTATCTCAGAGAGAATCTAACCATCAGCCTTTGACATTCAGTGGCGTTACCATTGCTGAATCTGCCGCTACTAACACCCTGGTGGCTACCATTGAATAGAAACTGAATTGGACGAGCCATATAAATACTGTGACAAGAGCAGGTCAGAGGCTAGGAGTCTTGTAGCAAATAACTCCCCCCACATCACAAAGCTGCTGACCATATACAAGGCATAACACGTGAGGAAATACTCCCTACTTGCAACACGCAAGCAGCTCAACACCAAATAGAGCACAGCAGCGCACTTGATTGGCACCACATCCATGAACATTCACTGCCTCCATCCACCACTGATTCTTAGCAGCTCTACCCTCTGCAAGAAGCTCACCAAGGCTCCTTAAACTGCACCTTGCAACTCCACACCATCTAGAAAGACGAGGGCAGCAGGTATAAAGGGACACCATAACCCATGAGTTCCCCTCCGAAATGCTTATTATCCTGACTTTGAAGTGTATTGCTGTTCCATCAATATTGGTGGGTCAAAATCCTGGAACTCCTTCCCTAATTGCATTGTATGTATATCTACACCATATTGGTTACAGCAGTTTAAGAATGCAGCTCACCACCACTGGATGAACAATAAATGCTGACCTGTCCAGTGCTGCCCACAACCTGTGAATGAATAATTGTAAAATTATCTTACTATTCTTACTTTTTCTATACATTTTTACATTTTTATCAAGCTTGCTCTTGTATTCTAACTTCTTGCTCCTGATTTACCTATTAATCATCTCTGCTTTCTTTGTATTTTGTCTAATCATTTGACCTGCCACATGTCTTCATGCAATTAGATAATTTTTCCTTAAATTTGATGCTTTGGTAACCAGTTAGCCTTCGATGATGAGTTCTCCCCTAAGAATTTTTATTTTGTCATCTGAATGTATTAATTGTGTTCTGAAATATCCCCTGACATGCCGTTTCTCTATGATTTAATCCCTAGCCTTGTATCCCTGTTCACTTTCTGTTGCTCAGCTTTCATGTCCAGATGGTTGTACTACTTTTAATTTAAAATGCTGATCTTACACTCACTCCTCTCTGTTTCAAGCTGAATGTAAAATTCAGTTATATTCTAGTCTACTAACCATCTGTTAACCATTTCTTCTTGATGCTAATTTTTGATACTTTGGTGCCCACATTTTCTGTTGTAAATGACTATATCAAAATTCCCATTAAATTTTTTATTGTCAATCGCTAGATGGCCCTGTGAACTAAGTCTGAGATCTCTTCCAATTCGGTGACAGACTTACATACATAAACATTGCTCATTTGGCTGAGCAGCCGCATTCAATTTACTGGTGTACTGACAGAGCTCTTTTTATTTTGCTTTTGCTGGCTACTAAAATGGCTGTAAGTCACAATTTGGTTTATTGTATTTCTTAGTTTGTATGTCTTCCGGAAGTCCTTTTACTTGAGCATTTTCCTCAGTTTCTTCATGGTCTCACTTCAGTCCTGCGCTCATCAATTGCAAGTCAAGAAAGTTAAGTACAAACTTATTCAAATGGTGAGAGATTATAGAACTCTGAGATGCAGAGGGATCAGAATGTCCATGTGCATGAATTGCAGAAGTTTAATGTGCAGATCAGAAAGTAGTTAGGAAAGCTTTTTTTTTCCATATTATTGCTTATTATGGAGAAATTGAATATGAAAGTAGGGAGCGTTATACTTCAGTTATGCAGGATATATGTGAGTCTGCACCTGGTGTATTAATCAGCTTATTTAAGGAAGGATTTAAATGCATTGGACATGCTTCAGGGATGGTTTACTTGACTGTTACCTGGAATGGGTAGCTTGATTTATAAGGAAAGTTTGGGCAGACTAGGCTTCTATCCGCTGGAGTTTAGAAGAGTAAGAACCAACTTGATGGAAACAGACAGTATCCTGATGGTCCTTGACAGTGTAGATGTAGAGAGAATGTTTTCTCTTATGGCAGGATCTAGAATTAGGGGTCACTATTTAAAAGTCAGGGTCATCCATTTAAAACAGTGATGAAATGCGTTCTTTTCTGTAAAGATAGTGGAAGCAGAATGCTTGAATATTTCTAAGTGAAGAGGTAGCTAGATCCTTGTGTAAGCAAAGGATTGAAAAAATATTAAGGAGGTGGAAATGTGCATTTGAGGTTATAATCAACTATGATTTTTGCTGAATGGTGGCACATCGCGGGATTGACTGACCCATTACTCCTGGTTCATATATTCACGTGTACATATAGTTCTACAGCTGCCAACAGCCATGCTACACACCT